AGAGAGAGAGAGAGAGAGGGGGAGAAAGAAATATTGCTCCGATTGGATTTGGCAATTGAATTGTGGTTATATGTTCACTCCTCCAGCCCGTATATATACCCGAAGGATAGGCTTGAAATTACTTCTCTATACATTATACACGACAGAAGAGTCGACGTGTGCCGTGACGTGTTCGAGATTACAAGAATCTTGTATCGAAAATCTGGTGGAGATTCTTGTAATAGTTAGGTAGATTTTGTAAATACTGAACGAACAACGAATAAATTGCGGAGGTTTCTCGTAGCAAAGGGAATTTAATACCACGCGGAAACTTCGTACTCTGTGTGCTCGGAATAAAATTTTCTCAATCTTGAAATTCTCATACTCTCGGGGCTCGTTTACTTTGGGATAATAGATAATATATCTTTATAATCCAACATATGAAACGTGAAATAAATTGCATTAATAGTCCAATCCTTGCATGTAATCCTAATATTCATTAATACTATCTCATCCCATAATACGTTTAAAATTACTTCTCGATAAATTATACACGTCAGAAGAGTAGACGTGTGCTGTGACGTGTTCAACATTACACGAATCTTGCACGAAAAATCCGATGGAGATTCTGTAATAGTTAGGTAGATTCTGTAAATCTGGACGATTAGCGAATAAATATGAGAGGTTTCCTGAAGGAAATCTCATAGATTAGCGAATAAATACTATTTCATCTCATGCCAAGTAAACGACCCTTTGGTGTATTTTGACCTATCCATACTTACAAATCTACGATCATCGATTTAACAAATTGACGAGCACTTCAGATATTACATTTAGCCATGGAATGTCAAACACACGATGAAAGATGTATATTCCTTCGTTTTGTACATACTTTTCCCTAACATTTCGGTAATACTATCTCGGTATTCTCCTATAATACGTGAGTAATACTACATCCCATTATCTGTACCAAGGATCTAATATTGGTCACAAATTGGTTGAGAGTAAATTTTATGAAGACACAAATGCCGAATTCGAGAGCAGATCGTTATTCCTGACTAGTCGTATTTGATCTTTTAGACCATTGATAAGAACTAACGCAACGGCAACAAAACAAAATTCCAGAAAATAGTATCGGGAAATAGAAATAAAGATATCGTGGACTAATAAAATATTGTTCTTCAGATAAGCTAGCAAGCAGTCGTAATCGGAGACGAAAATGATTATACTATTCAATTTCGACTCAAGATATCACAAGAACTAAGTACTTAATCAATATATATTGCCATTAAATTAAAGTATAATTTAGAACCAGCATACACGTTCGGCCTTACCTTCTGTTCGTCGACTCATCGGAGCATTCTTCGGCAAACATAGCTAGTTCCTAGAAAAAGAAAAAAACAAAGAGGAATATCAATTAATTTCACTACAATAAACTGATAATGATCGAAAACAATCTTCATTTTTAAAATCACAGGACAATCAATTACAGTCAAATCTAAATAACCAGTAATTCATCCCTGCTGATAATCAATAATGAATAATCAGTAATCAGTAAGATGAATTTGTTTACTCCTGACATGGTGTATTTTCAAAAATCTAAAACCCTAACAAGCAAAGAAACGGCGTCGTTTTGCAATTATAATTTGGCGAAGAAGAGAAATTCCATAAACACGAATTTAACGAGGAGAAAGAAAATCTTCATTACCAACAAACAGAATTGAAAATCAAGTCTTTCGCCATTCGTTTAAGTTTTAACTGATGAGAGAGAGAGAGAGAGAGAGAGAGAGAGAGAGAGAGAGAGAGAGAGAGAGAGGAGAGAGATGCACACGAATAAAATTGTATTATAAATTTGAATATAAACTAGAAAAAATAATGATTAATTTCTATTTTGACTAGCTAATAAAACATAAATGAAACTTTGGAACAAAGCTAAATTATCTACTTTGACCAAGCTCATAACATACTTAGAGAGATTGTTTGCCAAAATCTAAAAATTGCTGCCACTATTTATTGACGGCTTCCTCAACGGCATGTTCGTTCCGGTCCCATGCAACAAGTCGTGAAACGACGTTGCTTGCCCCTTCCTTCACCAACTCGAAAGTGGAAATGTAAATAACCAAAGTGTAGGTAACGATTCTTTAAGTTAAAACGGTAGTTAATTTCGTTACATTGGATCCCTCTCTCTTTCTCGAGCAATGATTCGTGGCTGGAAAATTTGGAAATTTCTTCTTCATTACCTCGGTTTTCTCCCATGTAGCTTCTCCTCCTTAAGCAAGTGAGACTAACGAATCAACCATTGAACGAGAATTCTGCATTGTTCTTCTTCATCATTCTTTTTACTAGCACTTGCAACGAACAAGAGCGAAGTCAAGAAAACCCCCACTAAGGCCGAGTCCTCCTGCTGATGAAGATATGTTCTCCGACTATGATTATTGAGTGGAGGTTTTATGAAAAATAATTTATTGTTTTTAAAAAAAAAAAAGTGAATTGCTTTAATTTATAATTTTTTTTGGGACTGTAATAGTTAAGGTTATTTTCTTACTTTTGTGTTTGTGTTTATTTCTTAGTTATATGCTATATTATGCTTTGAGCTTATTTTGATAACTTTGTGTCTGCTGGGAGTTTATTGTGTTACAATATTTGTATGTTGCAACTCCATTTGTGTGGCGTTTTTATTGAAGAAAAACTTATCAAAATATTCGAACTTTGCTAGGACATTTCGTGGAGCAGTAGTGTGTCATCGTTGTTGTTGTGGCAGCACTGTCATGTCTGTCGTAAAGATCTCGGAGAGAAATTATCCGCCATCTAAAGGGCATTCAACCTTGAAAAAAGTCCAAGAAAGTACGATAGAAGAGATGTGTGAAGAAGCAAAACGAGTTGTGTACAAGAACGACATATAATTTAAAGAGAGAGTCTTTAATGTTTTAATAAGTCTATGAATATGTAAAATGAATTAGTGAAATCTTTTTTGCAGGTTCTCGTGGATGATGGATAACTTTTATATCTGAAACACATTATTTTCTTGTGTTATTTACTCTACTTTTAGTAGTTATAATCTTAGTCTATAGAAGAATTATAGTTACACCATACTAATGTCATGTAAATTGTTATAACTAAATAAGATTGATTTTCAAGACCATAAAGTTTTTGCTCGTGGTATATATATATATATATATATATATATATATATATATATATATATATATATATATATATATATATATATATATATATCACTTTGAATATATATTTTTTTCTCATATTAATGAAAAATATCTGAAGCAGTTACAAACAATTAACCAATAAGCATACTGAAACAAAATCATTCTACGTGATTAGGAATTCTTTTTTTTTTTTTGCTAGTTTCTATGTAAAATGACGAGATTGCCCCCAGCAATTCTCCAAATACCTCCTTCCTTATGTATGCCTTCATTTGTGAGTATGCTTTTCACTGAGTGATCTCGAAATTAGGGCGTGTTACTGCTCGAGTTTTTGTGCTTCATATGAACCAAAGGTCTGAATGCTTCCGATTCAGAACACGGGAGCTACAATTATTACTATTTCCAAGTTGCTTCTTGAAATTTCTTCCTTATAGACCTGAAGCTGCTATGACTTTTATCGGACCAGCGAAAAGACATACTTTTTTTCATGATATCTGCAACTAAGGGTGAACTCAAACTCGAATTCTCCACCGAAGTCTCGTCATACTCTGCAATCAATTAAGGAGGATTAAAAAAAAAAAGGATATTTACGAAAATGAACGTTCACGAAGGGGTACAATCGTAACAATTAAACTGCAATCATATATCATGGATGCAATTCAAGGGTCTATATTTTTTCGAATCAAGGGACACACAACCTACTACAGATGGCCATCAAGAAGCCTATAAATAGACTACCCCTCACTCCATTATTCGTATCCCAAGATCCATCGATTCAAATTAATTAATTATCTCTCTTGCTAAATCGATAACCTTGCTATATTATGGAAACAGATGAATCATTTAACCAAGTTAGAAACATAACATCATAAATCAATAAATACTACAGGCTTGCATTAACTTTTAAGTTGACTTTTTGAAAAAATGAATTAGATATTACCGATAAAAAGACGAGACAAACAAGGAATGAATGGTTACCAGAAGACGGGGGGAGTCGATAATGCCTTTTTAAGAACTTCGATGCTTCCTTATCTTTCTTGTGGCATAATACTCGTATTAAAGTATGAGCATCTCCTAGATACCGTTGACCATATTTGTAATTATTCACACCTACTGAGATGTGTTCACTGGATGCCATTAGCATCTGGATCAAGGATTCAGTCTGCCCCAATTTTATTTTGGAAAAAGAAAATATTAGGGAAATCGGGAACAGTTGAATTTTTAGCAATCTAGAAAATGTGAATCGAATCATCTAACCTCGAGGGAAAATAAGCTCAGGATTTTATTGCAAAATTTTGCTTCCTCCTCAACCAACGAACGAGGAAGGCCTTCCCCATCAGCAACAAACAAGTCCTGTAAGATGATGAAGAAAAATGTGCCGCTTACATAAACTTCAATATATCGACGGATATCTCCATATATAAGTCAGGATAATTTAAATGTTAGTGTGAAAATCCATGCATACAATTTTTTTGATTGACGAAAGACTAGAATCCATTTTAAGCAGGAATTCAACTAATAACTTCATGAAGAAAAAACAGATGTGATGTTACATGATCTCCACAAACATTTGCATGACTTGATCCATAAAGAGATATTTCTATGATGTAATTTATTCAGTATGTTAATTGATTTCCCAATAACTGCACACTCTAACTGGATTAAAGGCTGTGGTGCAATCAATTAAGATTTTGATTTTGATTTTGATTTATGTAATTATAAAATCTCCAAGTTACAAAATCGTGCAGTTTGCCTATTGTTAACTTCTCGACAAATTGGAGATTGCCACAATTAGACAAAACACACTCTCCAAGTCACAAGATCATGTAATTTGGCCATTATTAAGTTCTTGACAAATAAGAGATAACCACAGTTAGACAAATTCCACCTTTGGTGTTTGAGGCTCTCCTTCAATCAGTTTACGAAACTTTTCGCAAGCAAAACGAAAACTAAAGAGACGAGAATAAAGAATCGGCAGATAGTTTCGTCTCTTTGTGATTTTTACTATTTCAAATTTGTGCAAAAGAATTAATTGTTTGCTGATTATGCAACTCGGACTTCCAGTAGAAATATGATATGTGTGATACTGAGAAAAGGTTTGCAATACTAACATTCTTCGGATGGGGCTACTGGGATTTACCTTTAACATATGAAAGTCTTCTTCAATCTTTTGAATATCGAACTCGGAAAATGCACGTGAAGGGCCTCCGTCAAGCAACACCCACATCAATCCTTCCTATTGAAACAACATGCAGAATATTATAAATAAACGAAAAATAAAAAGAAATTAAAAAAGCTGTGATGTATACAGATATCATGAACGAGATAATACCAGTGACGCCTTCCAAATGCTTGACACCACGAGGTCTCTAATTGTACCATCAATCAAACCACATATATTATTGAGGACCTATAAACAAGTTTCTGAATGTTAGAGAATTAATAAGATTAAAAAAAAAACATAAACCAATTGGTTTGCTTTGCCTCTATATGTTTTAGCAGAGGGGTGGTGCATTAGAATTAAGTTTCAGAACCGATAAGACTATCAATGCTATCTGAAACCAAGTGTCCGACTGTTAAGAACTATCGGTCATTTCAGTGAGTGACTTCGAGATTCATAGCAGTTTCAAATGGATTTCTTTTAATGGTAATCCTAAAAAGAAGATGTCTACATGAAAATTCAGTTATCAGATAATATGAAGCCACGAACATGGACTAGTTCTGAAAATGGTTCTGAAGAGTAAAAGAGAGGAAAAGGATCATGTTTGCCTAGATTTAAAAGTGTGCATGTGGAGGAGTATTTGTATCCCGAAAGAAAACTGATAAAGACAAGAAAAGAAGAAGTGATGCTAAATATTCTTACTTTATCAAACTCTGGAAGTACGCCTTCAAAGCGATTTCCTTCAACCCCGCCATGATACAAATGGTACAAGAATGAATCTCTCATATCCCAGAACACAATTTTGGCTCCTGGAAGTTCAATGACAAAGACATAGGTATTGGTTAGGATGTTTTTTAAGTAAATCAAACAAAATGCAATATATATGTGTGTGTGTGTGTCTTTAAGTCCCATACCCAACACTGGAAATGACCCCTCACTTAAAAGTCGAAGTTTTTGAAGGCCACATTAAATATTATTAAATGTTTGCAGCAAAAGCGACAAACAATTGATCAAATGTCACTTGCATAAAGAAAATAACACTCGTAAATTTCACATATTTTATTTTTGTCATATCCACAAATAGTGTTACACTTCCTAAAACGGTGAATTACCTACAATACTACTCTGGCTTAAAGTAATGATGAGACAGTCACTAACTTTCAGTAATTACTTCGAATCGTAGAGATACAAAGTAAAACACACATTTCAGATGATTGGCAAAGGTAAAAGATCAAAAGTCAGATCTCCCCATAACTTACCGAGAAAATCGCTAGTCTTCCTAATAGCATGAGCAGCAGAATCCTTGATGCAATCCAGTGTTGCGACAAAAAGCTCAGAAACTGATTCACCATTCACATCCGTTGTCTCCAATGTCTCGGGAGTTTTTTCTATTGCTGGATGAAATATCAACAAAATAATATTAAATAACGAACAAAACTTTGTTTTAGCTCGATTAAGCTCAGTTGCATGCTTATATTCCTCAAGAACTTACAGTGCCTATCTATCTGATATAATTTCACAGATTCCCATGACTTCCTAATGCCTTCTTCAAGTACATCAATTTGTTTTTGAATATACTGCAAAAAACAAGTAGCAGCATCTGCAGATATTAGTGAAAGTACAATATCAATACAGACAATAGCAGCACCTTCTTCTAACCTATGTATCAATTTTCACAAAGATAAATTAACATGAAAGTATACTAAGCACAACAGTGAATAAGAAAAGAGTACATAAAGTTGTATTTTCCCTAATAAAAGTGGTTCATGAACTTAAGTTTATGCTGCTAACAGGACCTTGGATTCATGAGAACCTCATCTTAGGAAAGACGAAAAGTTCATTATCAACAATCACTTGGTGATAAGAGAATTGTGGTCAGTTTAATACTTCTTTGAATTTACTCTGAGCATCAAATTCTGTCCCCGTAAGACAATCTCAAAGACTAACATTATCAAGATTTATATTTGACTTCATTGTGATTAAAAGGTATAATATGAAGCATGCAAGTTTCATATGAGTACTCCATAGAGCAACAAATTAAATAAGTGTTGAAACTTCTAGACATTGAAATTATTGCAGCTAACCAATTAAACAAACAAGTAAATGAACAAGTCAATAAGGAGAGAATGGTATCTTGAAATTCATTATAAATGAATCAGAGATTCAGGATGAGACGTGCACTTACTCGATAAGTATTCAATATAATACATAGCTTCGAAGCTGTCAAATTATCCAAGTTTTTATATATATTATCATCTATGATCAAGCTCTCTGCCATCTTTTTCTTCACAATAGGAAATGTTGCTTCCTTGTAACGAGTCAACGGAGGAGTAGGAGGATACAGGTTTCGCTTCTCAACTGCAATAGAAAAAATGCATTGTTATTTTATTCTTATTTTTAAATAGGTATTCAGCATTCGGCTGCAAAAATTTAACAGGCACTCAGAGAATCTTAAGAAATAATTCCTGAGCAGAACTAGCCCCGAAAAAAAAAAGATCAATTAGGCATGTATGACCGGCACAGATATTTTTTCACTTTTATATTTTGTGGTAATCACTTGTTGCAGCTTTTGGCTCTCTGACAACGAACATAATTTCATCTACTCAGTGTAGTGAAGTATTCAAACACAAATATCAGTACTTATGGAAGAATCAATTCTACCTTAGTCTAATTTCCATTTTTTTGTCCTTCATCAGAAAGTTGGAAAAAATTGCAATTCAACCACAAGTTAGTCACAGAAGGATATGAGCAAATTTAGTAGTCATCACAATATAATCCTAAGACGGAAAAATTGAAGTTTCATATTTAGCTCCATGGACCTTTACTTGTCAAAAATTTCTCACTTGGTTTCTATGTTTTGGCCATTTCCTAAGCCAATTTCTCAGCCCAGACTAGTTATATGGTTGACGGACTGTCATCCAATAGTATATGAAATGTTGTGTTACTTTTCCAACAAAAGGAAAGTAAGAGTCAAATTGTAGAAATAAACTGATTTAACAGCTCATGATAGTTTTGCTCTTAGAGCTTTACTGATATCAGTGAAAATTAGCAACTATCAGAAGGTCCTTCCTTACCTAACTGGCTAACCACTTTCGACAAATAGGCGTCGAGACTGTGGAAAATTATGGATAACAGAGCTTGTAAATGAGTGATGTCCATTGGAATACTCCACTCAAAAAATAGATCCACCGTCTGCAAATTAAGTGACATGTTATATCCACAAATAAATTATAAAATCAAATAAAAAGTTTTCAGTAAATTTATGAAAAGACAATATGCCAAGTACATGATAAAATTACTTCACCACAACTCAACAGTTGACATTGACAAGAAACAAGAATGAAAATTAACAAATACTTCCTCGATTCCATATTATCTGTCGCTTTAGAGAAAAAACAAATTTGTTCCATATTATTTGCCAATTGCCACTATAGAATTTCAATAATGCGTTGAATGCATTTTTTCCTGTTCTGCCCTTGTTAATTCAACTCTACTAAGCATTAACTCCCTCGTATCACATCATTAAATAGTAAAGGTTCTTTTAGTCTTTTTTATGTGTCTTCTTAAAATGTGTAAAAACCTTAAACCCCAATTATTATGGAGTTATTATGGAACAGAGGGTGTAGTAAACAATGAAAAGATCACTCGCTTCGTTTTGAGACCCGTGGTTTTCAACAATCAGTGATGGTTATTTCTACCCAATTTAACTGCATACTGAGTTCATGAATCAGACATCAACACCCCAAGAAAAATTGGTCCTTTCAACTTCACTACAGGGGAAAAGCAGGAAAGATGAATGAATAAATGGATAGCCTTAACCCTTTGAAAAAGGTAAGGATCTGAACAAAAATCAGCAATAAAGCATCTTGGAGCACTAAAAGTTTACACCCAAATATTGAAATTAGATATGCTGTCAGAATTTAAAATTGATTGAACTGATTATATGAAGCCTGAGAAATGCTGTCTGAAACTTATCTAGCTCTGACAGTTTGCTCACGAAAAAGCTTGTGCTGAAGGTTTCCTCGCGCAACATTACACAAATGATTGCAGTGGGCACAAATAAGCATCTTATCAATTTAAATCATATGATTATGTCATGCAGAAAGTATCAGTTACATCGTAGAAACAACGCATACCTCCTCTATGATCCTAAACACTTCGACTGCTGAAGCTGCCTGCTTTCGCTGAGATGATAAAGGTTCCCAGTCCTGTAAACAGGGAAAACGTAAATAGTTTCAGCCATGTTTACATTTCATGTATGCCCATGAAAAACTGAAATGGTGCGATATACTTCATATATTTGCTATATCATAGTACTGTAAGTGCAGATTGCATTGTCATATGCAAGTGTGAGACAGACCTCAAGATCAAAAGTACGTCCAGTCCATTGCAGAATTCTTTCGTGCTGTGCAACTACCCAATCAAGAATGAGGGACCTGGAAATTTCAGCAATCTGGGAGAGGAAGAACTAGAATGAGAAATAATGCATATCCTAATTACGTAGGAGCAAGTACGGAAATTAATGTAAGGAGATAAACTACATCTATCAAATTCTTTGTGCTATTTAACATCTTCGCATCTGAAAAATGATTGCACAAATTGCAATGCTTCACTTTGGTGTTTGCCGTGCAGGTGATGCAAAATAAACGCTGAAGTAACAACTATGGCAGTATTGGTTGTGTAGCGCAGGTGATGCAAATTAATGTGTTCCATTAATTTGATTCCACGCACTCTGTAACAACTCAGAAGCAATCATCCATATTATCTTGCTAAGACTCAACTAAAAACTTAATTTGTTCTAACAAAATCTTCCAGCTACAAACCATTTCTGTTAACACTTCCAGCATAATGTGAAAGACAATCATCTTCGAGCACCAAATAAGTTCTTGAGCTTAATGTTTAAGCAGGAATTCAAGAAAGAAGAATCAAAGTCAACTTGTTCAAAAAGTGTTTGAACTAATAAGAGAGTGTGTGCAAGTTGGTCAAAGGACACCATGACAGAATACCTCTAGTGAGGTAGTTATTGACTTCTACATGAATGAGTAGCACTCATTCACACAGTACTATTCGGAGGAGGACCGGCATCCAATTATAGACGTCATAAAATCCAAGCAATATACTAAAAGAAGGATAGATTCCTTCACCCCGAAAACCAAACTGCAGAAGTACAAAAACATAATCTCCTCGTATTTCAAATGATGTCAGTTTCTAGTAGTATTTAAAAACATAGGTAATTGCACCCTAAGAAGGCCAATGATGATTATTTTGGTATATATAAAAAAAATGGTGAAAAAAGAAGGGAAAAAAAAGGACCGTGTACATAAAACTAAGATGATTTATCTGTGCAATCACATTGACCTATATACAGGACCACCTGGAATTCTTCATACAACATTAACCTGGAATGAGCAGAACAAGTTCAAGAACTAGCTGTTCTTTGTTCCATGAGACAGAACATGCAGCCCTAAGCAAGACAAGCCATTTAAACAGGGGTGTTGTATGATACAATATGCTTTATTCTGAGTTGTGAAAAGGGGGTGTTTCATGGAAAAAAAAAACTCTCAGCAAGAAGGTCGTAACACTTTCCAGGATCAAACTTCAAATCATTTGCATAACAACTAATCCATAATAACCAAATCAAATGTGACAGGTTCTGGGAAATGAAAAAACAAATACGAACCGGGTACTGCTCAAATTCTAGGCCATGGTGTGAGCTACTTCCTTTACAAGCTGAAGAATAGAGTTCAATGAGGCAATGCTCCAACGCATAAGCTGCAGGAAGCACTTTTCTGACATCCTCAGTTGGAAGTGTAATATTCTTGACAAACGGATTCTAAAATAAGAAAGGAAGAACTTTAATCACTAAATAACTGGCAACTGAAAAATATTTAGATAAGAAAATAATTTTCATCGAAATAAGACCAGTATTTCTCCATAGAACTGATGCAACGTTCTGGCTGAGACCATAGCGCATTGAGGATACCAACGATGTAGGACTGGACTGAATATGGAGATATCTTTCTCAGCAATCAATTTTAGTTCACTTGCCAGGGTAGCCAGGGGATGTGTCTTAATTTTCATAGACCCATTAGTAGCAACTCCAGTAACCTGAGACATGTAAGATATCAACTTTTTAATGATTAATAATCCCAAAAGTTAATGATTTCTAACAAACAGGCTTACCCTGTTGCATGCTGCATCCAAAGTCTTCTCAATATATGTTCTAATCTTTCGAGTAACAATCTCATTTGGAAGGCGATATCCTGTAAACTGACAGGTTGGCAGAATTGTTTCAAAAATAAAAATAATTTTCTAGTAATCAGCGTGAGACGGCAGTATTGCCAGAGAACATATAATTGTAAACACTTGGAAGAACCATCCTTGAGTAAGACAATGGCAACGTGAAAAACGCTAGATACATAATGAAAGGAGAAATATGAAATTACCAGCCAGCTAAAAATTTTGTCTACTCTAAAATCCACCAAAAAACATAGAGAAAACTAAATGCAAGTATGTGACAGTGTCTCAATAGTTTAATATAGAAGTTATTTTCTTCAAACCATAACGAACAAATTTGAAAAGATTAATCAGCAGGATTCCCACCTCGCTATTTCCATGTGGAACAAAATCTTGAATCCCAGTGGATAATCCCATTTTCAGCACCCTCTCAAAGAACGATGGTTTCTGCATATTGATGATCACTTGAGACAGTAAATTTTAATGCGGCAGACTTGTAATTTTGTTCCAACATCACAAAATTAGCAAACAAATCATTGGGAGTATCAAGTTATAAGAGGAGAAAAACCTGACTAAAATGTAGATGATAATCCTGCAATTTACTGTCGCACCAGGAGCTAATTGACGAAAAGATAGATCGTAGCAAATCCAATCTAATTTCACATTCGTCGCGAATAGTGGAACACATCAAGCTCTTCATGTAATCCACCTCTTTTTCATTATAAACTTCAGTAGATAGAACCTTCTCGACTTCACAAATTGCATAGTCCAATAGTACTGCCTCTTCGGTTGCAATGAACTTCCATTAAAATGAAATGTATTAGAAACTTCATCAGTAATAACATTGCAATGATATATGAGTCGAGATTCCAGCAGTGATCAAGAGGTAGAGCAATGAATTCATAAAATGGAAAACTGCATTGAAGCATACGTTATGTTTTTATTTACTTCTGAAAAACAAATATGCAATGAAATTGTTTTAATTTTCCCACAAAAAAAGAACCAGCACATGTCCAAGAGAAATACTGTAGGCACAAAAAGGGTTTGGGAATCCAGATCTGGTTTTCCTTTCCTTTTACTAAGACACAAACACACTTTTTCGAGATCACAAAATGCTCTTATGTGTTTCAGAAATATTTATTGACAAACAAACTATGAGATGCCCAAAACAAAATGCCTACACTCCATCCAAGTTTCTGTATCTCCCGTCAAAAGTATATAGTATCAAAACTGTCTCCAGGAACATACAAGAAATTCTCAACTATACAACATGATGGCTTAAATGGCTACAAAATCAAAAAACACTTTTCTGTAACCGTTTCAGAAACTTGTTTTTTGAATCATCTATAATCAAAACACTCAATGGCGACCATAACCAATTAGCATGATAGCGAAATTATTTGGTAATCAGAACCGAATTATTTTACTATTCTTATTTTTAGTTTTTTTTCGTCATCAGAACTAAACTGCAAATACCTTTCACCAAACAATTTATACCTGCTGAAAAAGCACCCAAGCAAATAATGCATGATGCAGCCTCTCTGTGATGCCCAGCATTGACCAAGTCAACCTCGCAAACTTCAGGATCTCTTTTGCTTCCTGATACAGAACTCAAATACTATCATCCATATAGACATGTATTCATAAAAAAATCAACCTAACTTCCAAAGACAAAAAGCCAAACCTCTATAAGCTTCCCATCTTCCAGAACGTCAAATACACCAAAGAGCAGCTTCTCATACAATCTAATGTTCAAATGATAACCAGTGGTCCAATAGTATGTTTCTCCCTCCACCCCAAAGCGCACTGGTATGGATGTGAATGTCAAAGCAACTTGTCGAAGAGTTAAAAGAACATCACTCCTTTCAGAAGGAGACATCTTAATATCCCATTCCTAACAATAAAAAAGGCACATTGCTGAAAGCAGAATCATTGGGTGCATGTGTTGTAAGGACACGTTATATGTGCATGTGTTGTAAGGACACGTTGTAAGGACACGTTATAAGGCCAATTTATTTATTACAAAAAAATAGCATTGATGTTGGCAAAACAAGGCACATTTAAGAAATACCTCTGGATTTCTAATTTTGGCAAGTGAAGCGCGGATCATCTGCTTTTCGGTCTTTTTATGATCAGAAGAAAGCAGTTCTTCGAGAACATTTGCCTATAAAGCATTTAGCAAGAGTCAAAAACTGAAAACAACTCCAGCACCAGGAAACTTGGATTTCAAAAGGTTGAACACTCAAACAATGGATGTTTAAAAGTTACAATGTAGTTGATTAGTTCACTGAGGTGAAACAGAGTGAAACATTCGACACCATTGACCCAAGTTACTTTTTTCTACTCCATTATCTGATAAATAGAGTGAACCATTTCACCCCATTCAAAAACTTGCCTCATTATCTCCATTGGAAATGAGTTTGGGGTAAGTAATAGGAAGTTTAAATTCCAAAATTTCTTAGACACAAATATTTTGTTTCTTAACACAACATAAGAATCAAGTAGAGGGAAGTATAGAAGTCTATATTATCCTCAACTACAAAGTTGTGCTAGTAGCATTGAAGTAGGAATGTATGAACAAGAAATGAAAGTGAAGAAAGTACTGCAAAAGGAAAAAAATAAGAAGAGTCAGTAGCAAATTACTTGTCTGTTCTTCCAGTGGAGGTACGACTTCTCGCTTGCAAAATCAGTCCTTAATAATGCAGTCAAAAGCACTATTGACAATTGTGGAACATCAATTTGTCCATAAGATTTTCCCATCGCGAACTGTGTCAATCTTCGCCTAATAAATGTATCTGTTGCTTCTGAAATCTAATGCAGAATATGCAGAGAATTACTTTGTCGTAGCAATAGAAGAATAATAAGAGCTCATATGGAGAACAGATTGACATTCAGGAAGTAAACAAGTACAATCAACATAAGTATTCAACTGAAACAAGAAAGTACAGTTAGATTAATATGTGGTGGGATTGACAAAATGGAGATCTTACCCCTAATTCGACCAGTTTCATATACACAACCATTTGCTCATCCAATACTAATTACAAAACCAACTTTTCTATTCATTCTAATAATATTCATTTCTAATGACTGTTCTTAATGGATGACAAAAATCATAATCAGTTGATACTGTGTGCATTTATATTTTAGCATAAAGGAGAGAAACTGATGAATGCATTGAAATAAGCCAATCTAACTTAACCCACAATTAAAGGTCGAGGAGCATATCTGCTTTATATGATTTTATGTTCCCAACTAGACAACGTAACACACGGCTTATGCAATTTTTGAGACAAAACCTTCTCAAATATGTGTGTGTGTGTGTGTGTGTGTGTGTGTGTGTGTGTGTGTGTGTGTGTGTGGGCTAAGTTTAATTATCATTACTTGTTATTTATTCAAAAATGACCAATCGTCCCTCTCATCCACGTGATTTGAGTCTTATGGTTAGGTATCGTGTAGGGAACAATTTAGTCTGAGTTTCTACAGGCCAGAATTGACAGAGTCTCCACTAACGAAAGAATGGGATTACATGTAATGGCTTTTCCAACTCAGTCACTTCGTTGGAGGCCAGAACGATACGATATTTCCCATTTTATCATGTTGGTCAATGTCAATCATATGAGATTTCTGGAGAGGAATGAACTTGTACTCGTTTTACTATAATGGCCTTACCTGCGTTAATAATTCAGTAGGCACGTATAATGTTCGGCATGGGCACAAACCAAATTTTGTCAGTGTTTACCGAAACAAGTTCGATCAAGATAGTTTGGTTGTATTTTTTAAAAAGGAAAATAATGGAAACTCTCAGTCAGGTTCTTGGAGGAGAAATCCTGGAGAAACTGCATGCAACCAAGCATTTGAAAATAAATATAATAGCACACAAGGTTTCTTCAATCTGTGTAGCGCAGAGCAGGAAATTGCTAAAGTTTACTGTAAGCTTCCATTAAATATCTTTTGGTTGAAACAACAAGGTGCAAAGGGATACAGGAGGGTGTAGGATAATTGTTTTCTCTACTTGTTTGTCAATTGAAGTGTACACTCAAGTCTGAACAAACACTGATTATCCTATGGGGTTGAAGAAAAATCATCTTCCAACTTGAGTTCTAGCATGGCTTTGAAGTTGGCATAATAACTCTGTTCGCCTATGTCCATAATGTATACTGCATTATTCCAAACTAATAAAGTATAGAGTAAAGAAGAGAAATACTGCCACTGTAGAAGATGAATGGTGAGCATAACCTAACATTAGCAATACATGAACCATATTTTGCTGAAGTGTATCGATAAAAAGAGTCTGAAGATTAAGAGGAAATAGAACAGAGTAACCTACCTGCATTTGTATGCGGATTGTGTCAATGATCTTCAAATGTTCAGTAGATTCAGATTCTACATGTCGTTTATCTCTTTTGTTCTTTAACCCAGAAAGAAACCTAGAACCTTTTTCTTTTTTTCTACGTTCGGTCGAGTAAATTTCTACCCTATAAGAACAAGAAGCAAAATGTTAGGCAAGGGAACAGAAAATGAGATATCTTAGCTAATATTGAAAGTAAGATGACTGTAGTACAGAAAAAAAAAAAAAAAAAAAAAAAAAAAAAAAAAGTTGAAATTATTGTTTGAAGAAAAAAACCAAAAGCCAAACATAATCACAAATAGATTGCTTAAGTTCGCAACCAGATACGAAAGGTTACCCGGAAAACAGCATACATGCAAGGACCACTTCATAAGCAGATTCCCGCAAGTCGTCATCCAGTAAACCTTCATGAATCCTAAAACCATGTATCAGTTTACTCAAAAAACGGGATTTTTTACTTAAGAAACAAAGAAATAACATATCAGGAGAAACTACACTAAGCTATAAAAATAACAACTTTTTAATCCAGACAAGTTCAATAAATTTAGAAACATTCCCTGACCAACACGATCCTTCATCATCCGGTCCTCCTGAAAGTAATGTAGGAGGTAGAAAGAACGAAAACTTGCTACACCATCAGTGAAGGACCTCATCTAAAAGTACACCCCCTCACGCACAGTTGGACTATCTTTTTAGTGAAGTCTGGCCCTTGGACTTTTCATAAATATTGATGGTGAGATTCTACATCAAGACTCTTGTTGGCTTGCTCTAATTTCAATACCATATGGAATAGCTACCTTATCTAAAGACTTGGGCATTAGAGATGTGAACCATTTAACATTTAGTAACTTTAATAGAAGTATAGAGCTAATACACTAAATGTTACAATTAAGATAATTAAGCTGAAAGAAATCAACATTGATGTTATGAGAAAATCATAAGGTGGGAACGTGAAGTGAATTTACCAAGACTTTTTATCCACCATATACTTCAAAAGATAAGAAATGGAAAAAATCTTGTCAGACAAAAAATAGCTATTGCATTCCTTTCTTTCGTTGAATTCCCTCCTTTTACACCAATTCATGATGCATATTAATATTCGAAATTTATTTCCGGAAATGTTTCCATTAAAATATAAAAATAAGAGTCACTTGGTTCTTGAGCAAACACTTTTTGACATTTTAAAAGATCAAGAAACGGAATATTATCTCAAAGCAAATGTAGACACTGCCTAATGTTCATTTACAAGCTACTTTTTCGCTACACATGGTGTATTGATGGGAAACACCACGATGAGGAATACACACCTGTTTTTAAGATTGGTAATCCCACTGAAAGAAAACATGCATTGTGCAGAGAATTTACATCTGGAGCTTTGGTTGCTTCGCATCTGTTCCTAGTTTCTTGACTTGACAGAGGTGATTGTTCACTAGCTCTCTGGCTTCTGGTGATTGGTGGAGGAACACGACGGGGTGGAGATCCAGCTGAGTCTGGATCCGAATGAAGATAAAAAATGTCTCTTGATTTCAAGTGCTTCTGCAGAAGATAATATTGTTATTTTTTCCAAGAAAACAATGAACTAGCAAAGCAGAAGCCAACTGAGAATAAAAACACCAAATTTAATATGCTAAAATTTCCCCAAAAAAAAAACACACATTTGTATATATATGCCCTGTGGTTGAAGGAATACCCACACGGCCATACCACACACAGCATACCGTGCATGTGCATATACTGAGGCTAATATGATTGCCTAGAGATACTTATTCATGCGTGAAAGCAAAAACAAAACAAAAAACATATGCATGGATATATTCACATGAAACTAGTACAACAACAAACCCAGTGTTCTCCGTTTCATGATATCTTTTGTCATTTACATTCTTGAGTTACATACTGACTCGTGTAGGTTAAACTGTCTTCATAGAACTTTAAGCATGTTTCATATGGAATGAATGATCTGTGTTCTCAACCTTTTACACAGCATCTAACACATAAGAATAAAGAAAATTAATATTATATGGAGAAATAGAAAAACAAAGGATGAAGAAAAGAAACTCCGCAGTTGCTTTTGTTTTACGAGAAAGAGAAATAAAATTATAGAGGCGACACTCTTGCAACAAGAAACTTTATCACAGTTTTTGGTCAATGAGCAACAATCGTTTAACTAGAGTAACTAATCCAAAATTGAGATCCAGAAGAGGAATAAGCACTTCGACTTTTTCTGGACAACTGGAATACTATTATGGGTTTTCCAGATGATGGAATACTTTTTATGCACTTTCCGATTAGATTTTTTCAAGGTCTTTGCTCACAGCCTCCAGATTCCGGATATCAGAACATAAAACCATACTAGAGAAAAAGCAAAATATGATGCTCGAAAGATAGCAACTGACAATGGTTGGTGGTCTGAAAGTTGAAAATTGAGAAACTAAGACTGTAATTAAGATTTTTTTTTCTTTGAAATTTTATAATGTAGGATATGACTTGAAATTTGGAAAAATGGTAGTGTTCGTGATTCTGCATCGCATTTTTTCCACAGCGTTGTAGTGTTGTTTGTCAATTGTAATTGTCCAAGTGTAACTCGTATAAATGCCAACTCAACCAGCAGACAGTTTGTCGCATACTAATATTTTTCCATCTCATGATTTGCTGTCGAAACCAAATATAGACACCACTTAACACAAGCTAAGACTTTATGCAGATTGTCCAATGCATAGTTTGACTTAGTTAGATACATAAAAATTGTCTGTTATGTCAATTCTTCAACGCACAATGTTATTTCATCTGTATCACAATTTTGGCTAGCATGGACACATAAAAGATGAATGAAAAATACTAATAAATGGACCATATACGTCTAATATTCCATTTCAAGACCAACAAAAGATTATATCAACAAGCAATCAAAAACATATACGAAAGGAACAGAGAATACTAGGAACAATCCTGTTCTGCATTTCTTACCACAATTGGATGTTTAGACTCTTTGTAATATCTGTTCATTGCTTGGGAAACATCAACCACGCCGCCTACTCAATAACAAGAATCATCGTCAATCCAACAGGTTGAGGATAATAAACTCATCGACAAAACAATAAGAAACAATAAATAAAATATGCGCCGGCCGCAAATCGACACTGAACCGGAAAAATGAACAACATATAGCATATAAGATAATAAGATACTGTGGTTTCTACAAACAGAACTCAAAAAGAAGACCGCTATTCAATCAAAAGCTAAACCCACCAACTGTTCGACGCATTGTCCAGCTGAAACAAAAAAAATTATTCAACGCTGATTTTCACTTCAGCCAGCACAAAATCAATTCCCAGAGATAACAATTAACAACTAGCTGGCGCACATATCTTTGTTCAATCAAAAAACACACACAGATACACACAGTGACACAGACAAACACACACTGACACACACATAGATGAATACATTACACATACATACCGGATTGAATGCATTCGAGAACGTAATCGGTGCTGATGGAATCAAAATCAATGTTCGAAAAGGAGGCGGTGCGGCCCGCCGGAGTGGTAATTTCTTTGATTAGGCCGGAGGATAACAGGAACTCCAGGAGCTTGCGGCGATCGCTGCGGCATCTCCGCAACATAGGATTCGAAAACTCCATTCAGCAAAAGGGGGAAAAGGATTCACATACAATACAGGGAGAAAAAAACTCTTTGTTCGATGTGAACAATGATGAAAGCAGAAGTGGAAATTGTTGTTTGGACGGAAGAAGAGTTGTCTTTTCTTGAGGAGCGCGAAAAAGCCGACGGCATAAAGCCAAAGTCTTCTTTCTCAGCTTTTTACTTTTATTATTTGATTTTTTCTTTTTTTCTTTTTTCTTTTTTCTTTTTTCTTTTTTCTTTCTCAGCTTTTTACTTTTATAATAGGGGTAATCACAAAAAAGCCCATGACAAGGGCACTTAATTAAAATAGGGACATCTTACTTTTTTGTCTTCCAAATAAATCCACCCCATTCAAACTTATTTGCAAATAAGGAAAATCCTTTTATATATACCAAAATTACCCATAATTCATTGAAACCCAATTTAACTCCAATTTCATGATTTACACCCCAATTTAGCCCAATTTCATCAATTAACCAATTTTAACCCTAATTTTAATTTTGACCCCAATTTTAACCCTAATTCTTATCAATTCCACCGATTATGCTCTAACTTCCTTAATATTACACATTGACCCCGGATTTTAACAAATATATCACATTAACCCCCAAAACTTTTTTTTTTCTGAAAATAATTTTTTTTCTAAAATATTTTTTTTTCCGGCCAGATTCCGGCGTTGACCGCCGGAGACCGCCGGTCTCCGGCGTTGACTTTTTTTTTTTTTATTGAATTTTGTTTTCCTGGAATTTTTTTCCGGCCGGTCAACGGCCGTTAACCGCCGGGTCTCCGGCGTTGACTTTTTTTTTTTTTTTCTTAAAAAAAATATTTAAATTAATTTTACTGTCTTGGCTGCTAAATTACTGTCTCCGGCAGCTATTTAACTGTCAGAGACAGTAATTTAACTGTTAATTCACTGTTTTTTTTTTTTTTTTTTCAAAAATATTTTAATTAATATTACTGTATTCGTTGCTAAATTACTGTCTCCAGCAGTTATTTAACTGTCGGAGACAGTAATTTAACTGTTAATTGACTTTTTTATTCTTAAAAAAAATATTTTTAATTAATATTACTGTATTCGTTGCTAAATTACTGTCTCCAGCAGTTATTTAACTGTCGGAGACAGTAATTTAACCGTTAATTGACTTTTTTATTCTTAAAAAAAATATTTTTAATTAATATTACTGTATTCGTTGCTAAATTACTGTCTCCAACAGTTATTTAACTGTCGGAGACAGTAATTTAACTGTTAATTGACTTTTTATTTTATTTTTTTCCTTAAAAAAAATTATTTTAATTAATATTACTGTCTTGGATGTTAAATTACTGTCTTCAACAGTAATTTAACTGTCTTAGACAATAATATTAATATTATTACTGTTCGGAAAAATAAAATTCATAATATTACTGTCCCAAACAGTAATATTACTGTCTGAGACAGTAATTTAGTAGTCAAAATAGTAATATTAATTAAAATATTTTTTTTCTAAGAAAAAACAATTCAAAAAAAAAAAAATTCAAAAAAAAAAGTTTTGGGGGTTAATGTGATATATTTGTTTAAATCCGGGGTCAATGTGTAATATTAAGGAAGTTAGATCATATTGGGTGGAATTGATAAGAATTATATTATTGAGGGTATTTTAGACTAAAGACATGGGGATGGGCTTAATTGAGAAACTTTTTTTTTTGTGGACTAAAATGCATTTAAGTCCCATGTGATGGGCCTTTTTGCCATTTGCCCTTTATAATATTCAATTGCATAAGTTTGTATTTACGAGTTAAGTTGGTATTAATTGTTTATTTTTAAGTTGAGGGGTGTTTGTAAATATGCTGCAAAATCAACTTAACGAAAAAATAAGGTCTAGGGATGTTTTGAAAAAGTAACTGAAAACAGTTTATTTTAAGAAAAACGAAAGTAAAAATTGATTTTAAAAACACCTGAAAGCACAGACTGACGTAAAAACAACACAATTTCTATCTATATATATATATATATATATGCACACACACACATAGAGGTGTGAATATTAGTATGTGATAATATTGAAGTTTGGCCGATGGTTCTAGTGACAAATTATCTAGTTTGCATGGTATTTACTAGTTGCTCAATTATATATCCTTAAATATTATAAAAATTTAAACATAGTGGAGATTGTTACAAATTTAAGTTTTAAAAGTTTAAATGCAAGTCAATATAGTAACAATCCTACTCAAGGCCATTATTTGGTTTTGAATTTTCACTAATAGCCAATACTTTTTTCATTATGATTTTTGACCAAATATACACTATAAATAGGCCTCTACAAACTTACAAATCAATTCATAGCCTTTCTTCTTTTCTTCGTGAATAAAAAAGTTAGTCGAGGCCATTTCGTTTGAGTTTTATCTTGAAAGTATGATCAGCCATCAATACTCAGCACGAGTGCGACAATCGTTTTCTTAGTACAATGTCTTGTATCACAACTCCCAAATACTTAGCCAACCATTTATCAACATTTTTTAAATGTGTTTACAAAAATATTAATTATATATCTTGTGTGATTAAAAGTATTACAAGTATTTCATTAATTTTATCAAGTTGTTTTCAACTTTTCATCAAGAAATCAAACTTTCCACAACTTTTTTATAGATGAAGGGTTTTTGGTTCAACAAAATCAAGCACATCTCACCTAAACCCAAGTATTACATATAAGAATATCATTACAACAAATCAATGTATCTATATATATATATATATAAATAAATATATTCAATAAATCCACCACCCCCCCCCCCCCCACCCCCCACCTCCTTTTACACACATTAGGCATGTCCATAAATCCATTGACAATATTGTAATCCCCCCCTGCAAAACCAAATCTCAAATATCACAATTCCACGTCGAAGAATAACAAAGTTCGCTACAAGAAAAACCGACAGCTAGTTAGTTACCTCTGTTGATTATAGTTCAAAAGTCGGAACAATCTGATTCGTCGGATCTTGCAAAGCCCTATACACCGTCCGATCAACAATGCTCCTGTAAGGATCTTCCTCCCTCTTCTTAAGCAAATACGACATACTCGATTCGACTTCCGACTTTATCTCCAAGTAGAGTTCTTTCGCCTTATCTTTGTCCTTCAACATCTCCTCTTTTCCCTTTGTATGAATCGGCTTCCCGAAAAGGTAGTACAACCGTCCCGGAATCTTCGGTAGAAGGGCCGGAATGTATAAAGCTTGATTCGCCACCTCACCAGTCGACCCCGCCCTACATTATTAACATTCGTCTGATGATTAATAAAACGCAAGTTTTTCTGTTCTGTCTTATGATAGCAAATTAACATTTACGACATTAAATATTACCTCACGTTAAACTGTTCGTACTTCTCATTCTCCTTTCTCAAGTGGTCCCCCCAAATCGGAATTTTCATCAGGTCATCATAGTCCAAAACTAACTGAGATTAAGAAAACCAATTAATATGCATGGATTATAGCAAATTTATATATATATATATATATATATATATATATATATATATATATATATATATATATATATATATATATATATATATATATTACTTATCATAAATAAGTAATGTATCATAGTATTTATAGGTGTATTTTTCTGAAAAAAATCAGAATTATTTCGGAAATTAAATCCGTTCGGAAATCGGAAAAATTCCAATCTTTTTTTTATATAATTTCAATTCCAATCCAAAAAAATCAGAAAAAATCGAAAATTGGAAATCGGAAGTCAGAATGAAAAAAGTTTTTCCAAAATTGGAACTTTTCGGATCAGAACCGGCGGAAATTGGAATTTCCGTTCCAACTTGCACGTCTAATATTTTTTTGTAACTGGTAATAAGTAAAATATACCTCAGCTATGTCATCCTCTCCAACAACTCCAAACGGTACGATCGTTGCGCCAAATCTCGCAGCCATCCTTACAAACTCAGGCTGATCTGGCCAAAATAACTGATACTGTTCCCCCTGATAATTTTTTTTTTAAATGTTTATTTAAAATTGGAGGAAAGAAAAAAGCAGAGATAAAGTTAAAAAAAAAAAGGACACACTTTTCGGTGCAGAGCCTCGCGAGCGCCACCGGGATAAAGCAGCACGTGCGATTTCGTCTTGAACAGCTTGAAGAAATTGGCTGCGCTCACCGGCAAAGCACCGTACAATCTCAAATTGTCGAAAAACGAGTACTCCTTATTTACACTCTCGACGTGAGGCGAGAACAAAGTGGGGTGCGCTATGCCGTGCACCATGATTTGCTTCTCGCTTAAGAATTCTTCAACCAATGGCACGAGTTCTAACCCCATAAGCATGTGGTACCCCACCAACAAAACGGGGCCCTCTTCCGGAACTCCACCTAGGCCCCGCACGATCTTCCCTTCTTCATTAGTCGACAGCATTACGGGGCCCGCATAATCGCGGAACAATCTGTTTCATTTCATTACACTCGGTATGAAAATATATGTGTGTATATATATATGATAAAAATCAAAGATTATATATGTAGATAGTTACTTATTTTGTTGGAGTGTTTGCTTAAACTCGGAGGCACTAGGAGGTATGAAATCCATGACGTAATCGCGTTTCGATGAGCGGCGATAGGTGCAAGTACATTTAATATATGTTAGAAGATTTACACCGTCCTCCTACATTAACAAAAAAATACAGTCCGCAAATCAAAAAAAAAATGAAACAAGAAGTAAAAACTAAAAAGTAAGCTCGATATCGGAATAATACTAACTAATGAATGATCGTAATCTTTAGAGTAGTAAGGAAATTATGACCGAAATGCGTATGAGTAAACTTTAGTGCAAGGATAATATAGTATGTGAAAGTAAAATATTTATCGGAACAACGTAGTAACATCCATTAAAAAAAAAAGTGGGATAAATTGCTCACCTACCAATAAAATGGTGTGACCGTTGTCTTTGAAGTATCTGACTTTGCAATTCTGCAACGAGCTCATGAGCCTCCAAGCTTCGTCTCGACTAGGAAGCATGTTATCTTTGCCACTGAGATGCAAATGCATCATTATTATGACAATATATTTATTAAAAAAAATTAATTATCGTTAAGGGATGCAAAATATCAGAAAAATAAAAACTTGTAAAACCAATATAAAAAATGAAGAGAGAGAGAGAGAACAAACCTAGCAAGAATAAGTACTTCGGCTTTAACGGCATGGAGACGAGAGTTAGCATAAGCAGCACCTGTTTTGAGCAGCTTCAATTTCCAAACCAGCGTTTCTTTAGGTATGATGTCAGCCAATCCCTATCCATATACCAGTGAAACGAAAAAAAAAGTTAGCACTTTATTTTTTGTTTCTTGATTCCTTTCTCTTTTGTTAATTCAAATCATGTTACAAAATTGCAGATAATACAAATTAAGGAGAAAATGCGTACCGAAAGACGGGGTAGCAGACCGACAAGATTGCCAGCTAACTGTTCAAAATATTGCGCGGGAGAAAGCAGTGAATCTATATTAACCGCAGCCATCTTCATCGGATCACCTGGTTTTCGGAAAAGGTATATAATATTCATTATATATTATTTTTTATTTTATTTTTTTGTCATTAACTTTATTGAGTAATCGGTGTACCCATAATAAGGCCTAGGAGATACGGTATGGTGATATGAAGCTCCGCGGGCAACGTTTCCAATGAAGGCAAGAATGGCTGCAGTTGTGACCTGTCAAACGAAGTTGCTGAAAGAATGAATAATCAGTTAAACAAATTCCCTAAAAAAAAAGCCAATTTTATTTACGAATCGGAATAAATTAAATTAAACAGACCTGGATTAGCTAGTATCAAAACAAGGTCGACTTTCGGGTTTCGTGCCGCCACTGCAAGTGCCAAGCATCCGCCGAACGAATCTCCGACCAGATAAATCGGTTTCTTCGGAGATGAAGCGTGCTCCGCCCTCACGGTTTCTTCAACCCACTTTACCAAATCTGTAAATCTCGAAAAAAAAAAATTCACTAAGTGCACTCGAAACTTGTAATTCGAAAAGGCGGTAAAGAAGTTAAAAGACCTTCAAATGGGGTTCGATCCTGCGTCGGGATATGCATGCACCGAACATCGAAGACCCTAAATACCAAAAAGAAAAGAAACAAACCAAACCGACGAATTACTACGAAAGATAAACGAAACAATTCATTTACGAGATTCAACTGATCACAAAAGCGTACGTATTCCAGATTTCGATCGTAAAACATACAGAGAGGACTTACTTTCCGAGAGATTTGTGGTGCAGAACAAGGCCAAGTCCAAGACCATCCATTCCTGCATGAAACAGGGTAGAAGAAATCAAACTCTTACTCGTGGTTTACATAATAACGCTTTTTCTAGCAGACAAATCATCAAACACTTACCGGGCAAGAAAAGTAGGATAGGCGAATCCTTTAAATGGGGGCCGCACGAAGTAGGGGTGAACCACCGTACAGGGCCGCCGTCTGGTTTGATTATATCCTTGGCGTAATCGAGATAATCTTTAACGGTTTCCGTCCCATATCCGTCATCCCACAAAGGCTGCAACTTTCCGTCATGGAACACCTCCTCCTCCTTCTTCTTCTTCACCTCGCCGTTCCCAGTATCGATTAAAGAAGCCCTCTTGCTCTCCTCTGCCAGAGCAGAGGATATTCCGTTAACAGCGTCGTTAACTCTGACGGAATTCAAAGACAGAGCAGCAGCTGTTGAATCCCTGGTAGCTGAACACCTAATCGAGCTTCTGGTAAGAACCTGAACCCTCTTGTCTGAATTCAACGCGAAAAACGGCGGTGATAATCCGAACGCCGTGAAAGTTGAAGCCATGGTTGGTGAGCTTCAAGATTCACACACACACAAACACAGAGAGAGAGAGAGAGAGGGGTGCCCTTATAATTAAAAAGGGAGGCTTCTTCAGTTACGAGATTCATAAAGATGTACACAGGATATTTATTTAATGTGTGTGTGTGTGGTGTTTGTGTGTGTTCGGTGTCGTTACATAGAGCGAAGAAAAAAGAAGAGAAGTGTAGAGAAGTACGCAACAAACAGAGTAGAATTGAATGAACGAGTGAGTCACAAAAGAAGTATTGGGGGAGGAACAAACGGAGGAGAGAGGAAAGTGTGGATGCTTTTATGCAAGAAATGGAGATATCTATCTATGGTGGGTGTGTGTGTGGGGTCGTTTGTTTTCTGTAACGACAAATCAGCCATTCTGAGCTTTCCTTAATTCATTGAGAAAGAAAGAATGTACGGTCACTTTGCTGCAGTTAATGCCATTGTTGGCCTCAAATTTGTAAATTACTTTCAATTTAGGCCCTTATATGTAATTTAGTTGAAAATTATGTAATTTAGTATTGGGTAAATTACAACCACCGGTCAATTTACTAAAAAGCCCTTCTTGTTTTGGATAATTATATCTACCCCTTAAATATGATTTTTTCTTACACCTCCACCCTTATGGTGTCAAATTTAACATAATCATCTAGATTTCGTGAAATGTGTTCTAGTTTGTACTCGTTTTGTTTAAAAATACAGTTTCTGATGCACCGCAATCTGATATATATACAAGCTTAAAAACCCATATTATGATCATCTTGCTTTAAAATATGGAGTTCGAATATGATAAAACGGGTACAAAAGTGATAATAATACATATAATCTCGAAAACTCCACGAAATTTGAAACCGCAAGGGTGGACGTGTGAAAAGATTTATAGTTGAGAGAGTGGTTGTAATTATCCAAACAAGAGCGTTTTTTTTTGTAATTTTATCATACCTCAGAGGGCGATTGTAATTTACCCTTTAATATTTTATGGGGCAATTTGCTAAAAAACCCTTACGCACTAATATCCTTTCAAATCAGGAAAGTCATATTTTCGTATTTTCCTAAAAGTCCAGTGTATAGCTTATATTGAAAATAGGGTCTTAGTCTGAAAATAATTTTCCCTTCCCATCGACGACTGCCTAAATTCAACCACAACATCATTGAAAAAAATATATTTATTTTCAGTCCAAATTCTCCAACTAAATGCATATTTTTAGTTTAATTTCAATTTAAACTCTTCAATTAAGTTTTCTTTTTTCAATCTAAACTGTCTATTTTTTAAATAAGTTGTCCAATTAAGTTGCCGCGAGAGACTTATGACAATATTAAAATATTCAGACAGACGATTAATAATACAAAATATTTTTGAGGGACTTATAGCTAATTTTTCCTTATTTTGTATTAAAATATCCGCATACTTAAGGGAGCGTGTGTGGGAACAATTTGGTGAGTGCCCATAAGTTTATTGTCCAAGTTGACTACCAATTTTCAGTTTGTAATTTATTAATATAAAAATAAATATTATATGAATTTTAAAAGTAGGAAATAGTAAAATTAGTTTTTATATTTAACATATTTACAATCAAAGATTAAGTTTTCAATTTATTATTATAAACATATCCTTGATATTTATTTGAAGTTTATAAAATGTACCTCATTGAAAAGGTGCTCGTAAAATAAAGATAAATCTCAATCGGATTTCGGCGATTTCAAATTTTAGCGAAGATTTTTATAATTGGACAAAACCCGTATGGTATTTTTTTATTTCTTTTTAATGAATCCAAAAACTTGAAGCAATTAGTCATAATAAAAATTAAAAACATGATATGTACTTATGAATTATGATGATAGTTTAACACTTTAACTTGAATTAGTAGTAATTGAGTAATAAATGTAACTGTAAAAAAAATGATTGGATTATTTTATCTTCAATATTTTACAGTCCGAAAAAATACACGTGCGGATTTGCTTAATGAATACATTGGAAAGTGTCAGAATTTATTATTGGGTGACGTGGGTAAATATGTCATCATGTAATTTTTAATATATTTTTTTATAAGAATAATATATATAAGGGGAAACTACAGATAAATCCCTAATCCAAAACTCAACACACAGATCAGTCCCTAGGTAGTTTCCCCAAGCAATTCAGTCCCTATTCACGCGTCTGACATGCAGTTCAGTCCCTAATGTGAATTTTATATATTTTATTATATTCTCTCTCTTCTTTTTCACTCTCACCCTTTTCTCTCTCTTCTTTTTCTCTCTCTTCATCTTCTCTTTCTTTCTTCTCTTTCTTCTCTGTTTCTACTGCTCTCTTTCTTCTCTATTTCTTCTCTCTTTCTCTCCTCTGGTTTCCTCTTTTTCCGACGAAAAAATCACTGTAAAACCCACCCACCCCACAATGGTTTCGAATCCCGGAAGGTTATTTTACTGTTGCCCACACCATGGCTACTCCCATTGGTGTGAACCATTTGAAGTTGGGCAAACTTTTTCCAACTCAAATCGTGAAGAAAATGAAGCTACAAGTGCGTCGATGAACCAAGTCCATCAAGAAAGTGAAATGAAGAATTGCAATTCTGAAGGTGGAGTAGTTCATAGTTTGATAGTGTTGAATCTAGTAATATTTGCAGTCTACATGCTATGTAAAACCTATGTACTGTTGTTTAATTAGTGAACATAAGAGTACAATGTATAAGCTGGTAAAGTTCGGGTTATTCGTGAATATAGTACGCTTTGTCCACCAAATAAGTACAATGTATAAGCTGGTAAAGTTCGGGTTATTCGTGAATATAGTACGCTTTGTCCACCAAATAAGTACAATGTATAAGCTGGTAAAGTTCGGGTTATTCGTGAATATAGTACGCTTTGTTCACCAAATAAGTAAAATGTATAAGCTGGTAAAGTTTGGGTTATTCGTGAATATAGTACGCTTTGTTCATCAACTAAGTACAATGAATACACATGTGAAGTACAAGTGATTCGTGACTATAGTACGATTTGTTCACTGATAAAGTATATGTTTGCCATTTATATAGTATTGTTACAGTCTATATATTATTGTCGGTCCAATGCATCCATATGATCGCATTTTAAGACACAACTCTTCATTTTAAGACTATTAAGAATGAATGGAGACAATGTGGGAGTTGATCAATATCGATTATGGTAACAATTGAAGAAAATATTAGTTTTACACTTGAGCATTGTAGACATGTATGAAATTCATTATATTTATGGGATCTTGTATTCCAAACGCAACAATAATTCTCACCTACCTTAAAATAACCATCTAAAACATAATTTATGCATCTCCAGTACTTATTGATCATTAAAGCGTCAATGAAATTGGTACAATGCAATTCATCAAAAAATATGGTACGCTTTGTTCATCAAGTAAGTACAATGAATACACTTGTGAAGTACAAGTGATTCGTGACTATAGTACGCTTTGTTCACTGATAAAGTATATGTTTGTCATTCATGTAGTATTGTTACACTCTATTTATTATTGTCGGGCCAATGCATCCATATGATCGCATTTTAAGACACAACTCTTCAGTTTAAGACTATTAAGAATGAATGGAGACAATGTGGGAGTTGATCAATATCGATTATGGTAACAATTGAAGAAAATATTAGTTTTACACTTGAGCATTGTAGACTTGTATGAATATATTGTATAGTATATGAGTATCATGTATGAAATTCAACATATTTATGGGATCTTGTATTCCAAACGCAACAATAATTCTCACTTACCTTAAAATAACCTTCTAAACCTTATTTTATGCTTCTCCGGTACTTATTGATCATTAAAGCGTCAATGAATTTGGTCCATTTCATTTCATCAAAAAATATGGTACGCTTTGTTCATCAAGTAAGTACAATGAATACACTTGTGAAGTACAAGTGATTCGTGACTATAGTACGATTTGTTCACTGATAAAGTATATGTTTGCCATTCATATAGTATTGTTACACTCTATTTATTATTGTCGGGCCAATGCATCCATATGATCGCATTTTAAGACACAACTCTTCATTTTAAGACTATTAAGAATGAATGGAGACAATGTGGGAGTTGATCAATATCGATTATGGTAACAATTGAAGAAAATATTAGTTTTACACTTGAGCATTGTAGACTTGTATGAATATATTGTATAGTATATGAGTATCATGTATGAAATTCAACATATTTATGGGATCTTGTATTCCAAACGCAACAATAATTCTCACCTACCTTAAAATAACCATCTAAAACATAATTTATGCATCTCCAGTACTTATTGATCATTAAAGCGTCAATGAAATTGGTACAATTCAATTCATCAAAAAATATGGTACGCTTTGTTCATCAAGTAAGTACAATGAATACATTTGTGAAGTACAAGTGATTCGTGACTATAGTACGATTTGTTCACTGATAAAGTATATGTTTGCCATTCATATAGTATTGTTACACTCTATTTATTATTGTCGGGCCAATGCATCCATATGATCATATTTTAAGACACAACTCTTCATTTTAAGACTATTAAGAATGAATGGAGACAATGTGGGAGTTGATCAATATCGATTATGGTAACAATTGAAGAAAATATTAGTTTTACACTTGAGCATTGTAGACTTGTATGAATATATTGTATAGTATATGAGTATCATGTATGAAATTCAACATATTTATGGGATCTTGTATTCCAAACGCAACAATAATCTCACCTACCTTAAAATAACCATCTAAAACATAATATATGCATCTCCCGTACTTATTGATCATTAAAGCGTCAATGAAATTGGTACAATTCAATTCATCAAAAAATATGGTACGCTTTGTTCATCAAGTAAGTACAATGAATACACTTGTGAAGTACAAGTGATTCGTGACTATAGTACGATTTGTTCACTGATAAAGTATATGTTTGCCATTCATATAGTATTGTTACATTCTATTTATTATTGTCGGGCCAATGCATCCATATGATCATATTTTAAGACACAACTCTTCATTTTAAGACTATTAAGAATGAATGGAGACAATGTGGGAGTTGATCAATATCGATTATGGTAACAATTGAAGAAAATATTAGTTTTACACTTGAGCATTGTAGACTTGTATGAATATATTGTATAGTATATGAGTATCATGTATGAAATTCAACATATTTATGGGATCTTGTATTCCAAACGCAACAATAATTCTCACCTACCTTAAAATAACCATCGAAAACATAATTTATGCATCTCCCGTACTTATTGATCATTAAAGCGTCAATGAAATTGGTACAATTCAATTCATCAAAAAATATGGTACGCTTTGATCATTGACTGCAATCTTCTTTTACATCAATTCCTGCAATTACATACACATAAAACTACAATTATAACAAATACAACGTACTATAAAGTTCCACATGTCAATACCATCCAAAGTTACTCGTAATACCATTCAAAGGCACTAGTAATACTATTATGGCATAAGACTTATACTACAGGACCATCAAACATTATACTTCTAGTACCATATGTCAATACCATCCAAAGTCACTAGTAATACCATTCAAAGGCACTAGTAATACTATTATGGCATATGACTTATACTACAGAAGCATCAAACATTATACTTCTAGTACCATATGTCAATACCATCTAAATGCTTTCGGGACAGTACTTCGAGTACCCTGTGTCAATACCATCTAAATGCATTATTAATACCATTACTGTCCATGACACATACTATAGAACCAGTACGAAAAATACAATAAGCCTCTTTCCCATATCCTATATGAAACCCTTGTTAAACCCTTTGGGGACATGCTAATGTCACCGAAGAATAATACCCATGAGGAAACTGTTACAAAATCATGAAATTCGACAACAAATAAATGATATTTGCAAACCCAAACAACAGAAAAACAGATATTGGAACCGATTTATTGATTAGGGAAAACACCGAATAAAGTCGAGGCATAATACCCATGAGAGGATATGTTCAAAATCATGCAATTCTACAACAAATAAACCTTTTTGCAAGCTTAAGCAACACCCAAATGAGTCTGTTTCCAAGAAAATGAAAGAAAAAAAAAATCAAACCTTGTTGTTTACCCTGCTTCACCATTGTCGAGAAATGGGTTTGTTTATTTTTATTTTTCCTTTCGTTGTATAATTTTTCTGCGTTTTGTTGATTCTTCGTGCTTCGTTGTTTCTTCCTTCTTTGAAATGTAACGGGCAAAGAGCGTGTAACACAAACGGCGCGTTGGAGGTTGGAAATAAGTTATGTAAAATTAGTATAAAGTAAAGGGTATTTTAGTATTTGCACATTTTATTAGGGACTGAACTGCATGTTAGGCGCGTGAGTAGGGACTGAATTGCTTGGGGAAACTACCTAGGGACTGATCTGTGTGTTGAGTTTTGAATTAGGGATTTATCTGTAGTTTCCCCTATATATAATATACAGGAAATGAGGAAATTATATAATATTTAAAAAATAAATATTGCAGAAACTTTTATTCGGGATTCATGTCTGCTTACGACAGGGGTAATTGGGGAAAATTACAATTTTCAGCCCTTAAATTAAAACAGATTTCACATTTGGTACCTTATGTTTAGAAAAAAAAACACATTTGATCTCTTATGTTTAATTCAATTTTTTTTGTCATTTTCGTCAATTTTGCTGTTAGTCAATTAGTTAAGTTAGTGATGGGCATATGATTGGTTATGTTAGAACTAACAGAAAATTGATGGAAATAACTAAAACTGTTGAAATTTTAAAATATAAGGGGTCAAATGTGTTTTTTTAAACATGAGGGACCAAACATGAAATCCGTGCAAACTTGAAGAATAAAAACTGTATATTTTCCTCATCACCGCATACCACTCGTATTGTAAGGCATACAATAATGCTCGACAATTGCCTCCAACACCCAATTAATTAATCTTTACTATTTAAAACAAGAATTTGTAGTAAAGTAATAACCGTGATCTACTAATTCAAACGTGTTCAAATTAATGTACTTGTTCTTATATAAACGAAACATATCAAATTACAAAATTAACTAAAATTTAACCAAAAAAAAAAAACTCTCAATTTCGTAAATAAAATCTAAAGTGTGCATTTTCGGGTTTCACAACTCGACATTCCAAGTCGATAATTGTTGCTTCATTTACAATTTTATGAAGAAAAAAAAAACTTCAAAATATAGAAAAATTAGGTTTTCAAAAATGTAGTTGTGACAATAGTTTGTTGTCTACATTTATAGCCATTTAATTTTTTTGATAGATCTACTTGAAACCCAGCACGTTGTCGTTTTGGTGGTAGTCAAATCCAAAGTATCATTATCACAGCTATATTATTGTATTGTAATAAAAAAAAATCCTCGTCATTAAATTAGGTTTTAGCGTGACATCTAATTACTAAACAAATTCCCAATTGAGATAATTACTTAATTAATCTAGTCCCACTTATAAATTTGTTTTCAGGTAGGTAACATGGGACTACATTAATTGGTAATTAATTAATTAGTTATGTAGCACTGTCATAGAATCATGAGTATCTAATTATCTATTAATACATTTTATTGCATTGCACATGTGGTTGCTTAAGTGTCCATACTCCATTGTAAAAAGGTGTTAGAAAAAAAAATAGAGGGTATATATTTTAATGGATTCATATAAATTTATATTCTGAAATATTAAATGTCGTTTTAATTTTATTAATATCGCTTTGATTTTGACTCTTTTCTAGCTTGGTTTTGACAAAATTCAAACTACGGAGAAATTGTAGCCCTTTAAGATAACTTTATAATACAACTTGAAGCAACTAAATTGGATGGCACATGACAATATTATGCATAAATGATGAATTTTAAATAGTTGAAAATATTAAATGTGTGGACAACGTTCATTGATTCATGCATATCTTTCTCATCCGACACACAATCTTGATGATTCAAAAATTAGAATAAAAAGACTTATTACAAATTCAAAAAATTTAGGGTCAAAATGGGCAAAATTTGGAAATTTCAGTGTTCACCTAATAATATTGATATTTTAAGAGTGATACTCCGAAAAAAAAATCAGATTTTTTGAAATTATTTTCGGAAGTTAAAATCGAATTGGATCCATATAATTCCGGAAAAACCGAATCTCAGAATTTTGAAATGCAAAATTAAAAAAAAATTCCAAAAACGACAATCTTCGGACATAATCGGCGAAAATTAGAAAGTCCATCACATTTTAAATGCATATACGTGTCCATCATATAGTTGTTGTAATAACAAGTCATCGACCACATGACGAGTTTCTTGAGATGCTGAAAATATTCGTAAAGTAATACATAATGTGAGATGCGCTAGTGCACGCGAGCTGGTGATCAACTTGGAGATCGATACATGGTCGTGTAAAGAGTGAGACTATTTCTCCAAGTGCTATGCTTGTTACAATCAACGTGAACTAAGTCGCGGATTAATCGTCGAAACAATTTTCTAGTAAAACAAATTAATTATATCTCATAAGAGTTTAAATAGTAAATATCATTTACCTTAATTATAATGTGTTTGAAAGATATTTTTTTTAACTGAATTTAAAGAATTTTTGTCGGCTCTGTACTTTTTATGTAATAGTTAGTTGGACCACATGGGTTGGGCCCAAAAATTTATTCATCCCAATTGGATCACCCAATGTAGTATATACATATATGTAACCAAAAATTTTTGCTTACTTTTTTGATTGAATCTGCCAAATTGGCCCATGAAAATTGACTTCATATCATTTTGCACCCTTAAAATAAATTAGTAGTACTTTATACCCTTAAAATATAATAAATCATTTACATTGCACCTGAAATTGCATATATTAAAAACTTAATGCGGACAATTTCGTATTTTGTTGATTTTTTTTAAACCCAGAGTATATAATAACAAATTAAATTGTTATTTTATTCTACATACTACATAATTTCTAGCTTACAAAGTGCGAAAAATAAAAATCATACCAAATTATTGAAAAACAAACTATATTTTCTTTAAGAAAAAACAAAATAAACTAATATCACTAAATTAGTTGTTTGATGGATCTTTTTATTGTAGATGGTGATAAATATTTGGTACAACTCCTTGGAATAAAATATAATTTCCAAATAATTTGATAACGAAATAGTTCAATGATTTTTTTTTTCTTTTTTTTTTTTAATTTTTTTTGGTGATAAAAGATTTACTTTTTAAATATGTTGACGAAAGATGTATTTTATTTTTTTCACTTTCTAGTATCGAAAGGATCGGTGAATATTTTTTTTGTCATGCTAAAACCGTACTACTAAAAATATTAAATTACATTCGTTAGCTTTAAAAATTCATTCGAGTTGCATTATGCATGATTATTGTGTTTAGAGGGTATAAAGTGCTATTCATTTCTTTTGAGGGTGCAAAGTGCAAGCAATTATAGTTCAAAGGTGCAAAGTGGAACTAAGACAATTAAAATTACAATGTGGTATCATATATGTAACGCAATTATCCTTTGTCACCAATTTCAATTAAAAAAAAATTCAATTTTAGATTTTTTTTCCCTGTGAAATTGCGAATTCTGATTTTAGAATAATTTGCCAAACTATAGTAATATATTAAAAAAATAAATCAAATATGATTGTTCATGGACAATTATACCCTCAAAGTTTCTACCAAAATGCAATTTAAAAGTAAAGGAGAAAAAGCAAAAAAAGAAAAAAAACTCCCGCCCCTTTCACTATTAGGGCACCTTCGAAGGTTCAGAGAAATCGGTCATGGCTTCTTCTTCATCTCCGGCGGTGGCGGTGGCGGTGGCGGGACCGGAGATACCATGGGTGGAGAAGTATAGGCCCTCCAAGGTGGCGGATATTGTCGGGAATGAGGACGCCGTCTCTAGGCTCCAAGTCATTGCTCGCGACGGCAACATGCCTAATCTTATCCTCGCCGTAATCTTCTTCCCCATTCTTTTTTTTTTGCTTCCATTTTTCCTCAATTTTTACTTTGTTTATCATGGAATTTTAGTTTTTTTGATTTAGTAGAAAATTGATATTGGAGAGTAGGTTTTGAATTGGGGTTTTTGTTCATGGGTTGCAAATTGGTACATGCTGCTGCATCTCGGCGTCGTAATGTATGCTTCATCACTTGTACATTCCGATGTTCCTTTTTCTCCTGAAGTGTCCGAGTCTTTTGGTTAGGTTGCTTGCAAGGGTTGAGCTAATTAATACCCTTGCATAATTGGGAATGGGATTTGTTTAGGGATCAAAATTTGTACGTGTTAATTTTGATGGATCAAAATTTAGTGTTCACTTTTTAGTGAATTGTTTAAGTTCAAATATTTTCTCGGGATTCTCGAAATGCTATTCATTTGTATCGACAATCAAGTACCTCCCAAGCTGACCATTGTCTGTTGTCTACTATTCGGTATTCCAGTCAATGTAAATTTCGAGGGGGCAATTCTTGAATCTGTATGAAAATTTGATTCGGCCCATAAATTGATGTTCTACTGACTTCCCATGCACCTAACGAATAAGAGATGTTCCAACAATTACGACTAATTCCTTTTCTATACATTTCCATGTTTAAGTGATCCAAGAAATTAAAGTGGTTTTTCTAATATATTTGGCGTGGTGTTAATTCTTGGATACTTTTTGCAGGGTCCTCCTGGAACCGGTAAGACTACTAGTATATTGGCCCTAGCTCATGAACTTCTAGGACCAAATTACAGAGAGGCGGTTTTAGAGCTGAATGCGTCAGATGATAGGTTTGTAAAGAATGTCGTCACTTTGGTTTTTTGCTAGTTTGCTGTCATTTTCGTATTTATTAATATGCTACACATTCTTCTCCAGAGGAATTGATGTTGTGAGAAACAAAATAAAGATGTTTGCTCAGAAGAAAGTCACGTTGCCTCCTGGAAGGCACAAAATAGTAATTTTGGATGAGGCTGACAGGTGATCTTAGCTTAAATGATTTTTTTTTAATATTTTTTGAAATCTCCGTCAAGCCCTTTTAGTCATATTCTAGTTGTAGTCTGGCTGACTAACTTTATCGGGAGGTAGATATTTTGCATTTTGTATATGTAATAGTATTCTTAATTTTAACTCGTTTCCTTATATCTGTTGCATAAGGGTTTTTTTTTTTTTTTTTTTTTTTTTTTTTTTTTTTTTTCTGTAACCATGTTTGTAAATTAGCATGACATCTGGAGCTCAACAAGCGTTGAGGAGGACGATGGAGATATACTCAAGTTCGACACGTTTTGGACTGGCTTGCAACACATCTGCAAAGATTATTGAGCCTATACAGAGTAGATGTGCCCTTGTCCGTTTTTCTAGATTATCCGATCAGGAGATTCTTGGACGTCTCATGGTGGTGGTTGCAGCAGAAAAGGTCGACATGCTATCTGTTTCTGAATAATAAACTTGTTTTTGCAATATTATACTTTCTTGATTATATGCTCGCTTATTTCGTGACTCATACATCCCGAGATTAATATTATCTTTAAGCTTTTAGCATATTTTTACAGCATTTCTGATATCATGGATATCTAGTTTCGAAGGTGGAGACGTTCTTATCGGCTAACCACCTCATCTATAACATGTTATGTTAAATGTTTTCAAAATGAGTGAAAAATACACATATTTGTATTCCGTCTGTGATCGTTCTAATATCCGTAAATATGACCTCTATTACGTGCTTCTTATCTTCAACTTAGAAGGAAATACGAAAATAAAGTGCAATAGGGATATAATAGTGGTGCAGCATCTGCTTCAGTTGGTGGCAAATTTAAGCCACTTAGCAAGTACATGTATGTGTATGTGTCCTCTGGTAGTAATTCTTGCCCGAAATTACATGTATACGCTTGCTTACTGACTCTCCAAATAGTTCGAGCAGGCTGAATTCTCTTGTTGTGAGACTTCACACCATTTCGCGCAGCCCATGTTGTATTTTCATATTGACTGACTAAATTTGGAATTCTGCTTATATCGATCCAAACCTGAAATAGTTTATATCGATCAATGTAGGTACCTTATGTTCCAGAAGGTCTTGAAGCAATTATTTTCACCGCTGATGGTGATATGAGGCAAGCTTTGAATAACCTGCAAGCCACAAACAGTGGATTTGGATTCGTCAGTCAAGAAAACGTTTTCAAGGTTAAAACACTTGCACATTCAAACACCTTTTCTCGGTATACCAACTTTCGAAACTCCAATGCTGTAATACTGTTTGATATTTGTTCGGTGTCCAGGTATGTGACCAGCCCCATCCTTTGCATGTGAAGAACATGGTACGCCAAGTAATCGACGGGAAATTCGACGATGCATGTGCTGGAATGAAGCATCTTTACGATATGGGCTATTCTCCTACTGATATTATCACTACCCTTTTCCGTATCATCAAGAACTACGACATGGCAGAGTATTTGAAGTTGGAATTCATGAAGGTTTTTCACTTGGCGTCTCTTTATTTTTAATTCTTTTGAAATCGAGTTAAAAAATATTTAATTTTTATATTTTTTTCGATGAATTTGCAGGAAACTGGATTTGCCCATATGAGGATTTGTGATGGAGTTGGTTCGTATCTTCAGCTGTGTGGTTTGCTGGCGAAATTTGCGATCGTTCGC